GGCTCTGAGCCAGCACAGAATCTACAGGAAGAGAATTCCAACATCCTGCAAAAGGGTGGGGCTATAGGCCCCAGATGCCTTAGGATTCGGAGAAAGAACCAACAGGCCACCTCCTGGGACCAGTCATGGGGGCAGTCTCAGGGAGTTCAACCGGGACCTCACGTGGCAGGGAGGTGGGTGGAGGGGGTTTCAGCTTTGGAACCATGCCACGTGTGCACCTTGGTCTATTTAAACTGTGTAGCACTCCGAAACCTCTTTGTAAAAATAAAGCACGCGCTATAGAGAGAGCAAACAAAATGAGCGGACTTTCAGATGCCGCGGTGCTCTGAGGCATGTTGTATGTGAGAGTGGGCACTCTGGAGGCTCATCTTTGGAAGAGGCTTCTAATTACCCCTTATGTGGGGCTTTGGAGAGGATTACATGCTGCAAGATGTTTGAGATGTTTGGGCACTGTGACTGCACAAAGTAAACCCTCAGTAACATTTTCTGGAGAGTCATCATAAATGATTTGTACTTGGGGACCGGGTCACAGGACACAGTGAACTGATAAGGTCACCACCTTCTACTCTCTCCATCCTGAAATAAGCCCGATCTTTTCCCCAGTTACCAGGCACATGGGGATTCGCTGCTATGAGGCCATGGGCCACAGGTATCACACATCCTTGGAACCTCTGGAGGAGAAATTCTAATTCTTTTCCCCCATGAGTTCCTGTTCAGGAACATTGTGAACCCACTATCATGATATTTGAGAAGGCTAAGAATATCACTAAATGGGAGTAAGGATTCACAGGGAAAGATGAAAGGCCTTAAACATGGAAGGATGAGATTCTTTATTTTATTTTAGTCTGTGGAGGCTTAGGGTCAGGAGAGTACCAACCAGCTGTATTCCTATTTCCACAGCCGATAAAACACACTGGGCTTAAGGATAATGTTAGAATAGACATAAGTAAGAACTTTCTGTCAGGTGGGAATATGAGACACTAGAACAACTGCAAAATAGTCTCACTTAGAATATCTATAAGGAGTGACTATATACACCAGTTAGGAAGAGTTTTCAAAACGGTGACTAGCTGCAAAATCCTGTCCTTAATATTCACATTGGGTTTATTTTGATTCATTTGAACTCACCAAATACATTCAGAATTTCTCCTATTAAATAGAAATAGTTCTCCATGGGAAATTGTTTAATCATTGGAAGGAAAAGAAAAGAAAGCCAATGGAAATTCAGCTGTAAGTTCTTTCCCTGATTTCTTTCACGACCTGGGCTACCCATGAGCTTGGCTGGTTCTCATCTACCAGGCAGCCATCTGTCCTGCCAACGAGAAGCATAGTTCCAGTGCCTGTGTCAGGGAGTGGGGATGGAAGGAGGAGGAGTGAAAGGCTGGTTTTAACTCTTCCCATTAGGAACAGCAGCCTTTTGATTTCAACTTCTCTTTCCACCCACGTAACCCAGAACAGCAGTAACCTGGAAACAACTACTGACTATGTACATAACCTGTCCTTGTCTCTGCTGGAAAGACACCAGGTTTCCCATGTCCTGATGGAAGAGACAGAAATGCTCTGGTTTCTTTAACAAATGAGTCCACTGGCACCTGTACAGGCTTTCAAGCCCTTTATTATTTGGATAGCCTATTCTGTGGCGCTCAAAGAATAGGGAAGCTGGCAGCTGGCTGGAGGAGATGAGTACCGACTACAGCATCCTGAAGACATAAAATTGGCCCTTTATATGTAGGGCCACCTGCTAGAGGATTAAAAAACAGAAAGTACTTTTTGTCCTTCCCTTTTACAAAGAGAAAATACTAAGACCTAATGAGATAGACAGTATTACTATTCCTGTTTTACAGATGAGGAAATCAAGGTTCTGAGAGGTTAAATACAATGTAATAGTAGTGTATTATAGCTATATTATCACTGGTAAGGCCCTGCACGTCAGTATTTACCTCAATTAAACTGTGAAATACATGAAATAGGGACCTTGTTCTGTTCACCACCAAGTTCTTAATTACACAAACACACACGTGTGTGTGTGGATTTTAATGAAAATTTATTCATTTTTTCATTCATTTAAATATATATAAATGAATAAAGATAGGCCTGGGTGAATTCCCAGCTCGAACTGGGTATTTTAAAACAAAGTGAGATGAATGTTATAAAACAACCTAAGACCAGAGAGCCAGCACACTTTAATCAGCACCCTAGAGAATCATTTCTTAAAATCCCATCCCTCAACTTAATTCTTGACTCCTCCCTAATCACTAGAATTTCTAATCCTACCCACTGCGCTAATATAACTTGGTTAGAATTCTCACAGCCTGTAATTCCCTTGTATTAAAATTCCCTGCTTTAGCGCTCCAAGAATCTACAGAATGTACCACTTCTGTGTTTGGGGAATTAAATGTTTCTCCTTTTTAATCTCCTAATTGCCTAGACATTAAATATTCTGTTTTCAAATTTCTATTTCTTTTATATATTACCTCAATATCTGCCCCTGTTTTTCCAGACTCATCCATACCTTCCTCCTCCTTCTGAATAATTTCTTATTTCCTCAAACAAATTCATCATGTAAACTACTCTGATGAGCAGAAGACAAGTAATTTTCACAAATGAGGTGATTTAAGGGTCTTCCCATTTTTGAAAGGGCTTAGATGATCAGCTAAGGGGAGCCAGGCAGAGAAAAGGATAAATGAACACCTAATTAGCAATATTCAGATGTGAATAAATAAAACATGAGAATATTATATTTTCAAATGTAAAGCTATTAAGAAAGAAAATGTTTATTTTTATTAAATATTTAATGAACATCTAGTCTACTCCAGGCCTAGTATAAGTTGCTGGAGATATAAGGCAGCTCTGACTCTTAAAGATGTTATAGTCTAGACAGGGTTTCTCAACCTCAGCCCCACTGACATTTTGGGAGGGCAATTCAAGATTATTCAGAGGCAGGAGCTGTCCCACATGTTATAGAACACTCAGAAAAACCTTGGGAGTATCAAAGAGGAGCCATGGTAGAGGGTGCCACAAAAGGTTTCACAAAACAAATGACATTTGGCGTTCAGTTCCTGAAAGATGCACAGCAGCAGAGTAAGAAGGTGGAAAGGGGAAATCAGGGACAAATGGATAGAAAAATGAGCAGAGAAGGGCCATTCAAGCAGAAACAAAAGGATGAGCCTTTAAAGGCCTGGAGAAAGATGGATCACAGAAAGTTCAAGTAAGTCCACAAAAGTCAAAATACAACTTCCAGTTTATCCCACTGGGATTTTAAAAACCTCTCAAGCCCAGATTCGATGCATTGAACACTAATGACCCAAACCCAAAGTGAGTTATGGAATGCCGCCAAGAACATCACACAGGAAGAAAGCAACAGATCATTAAAAAGACAAGAAAGAAGGACCAAAGTAGATGTCAGAAGAGATTCTGACACTTGCCCTTGATCTTAGGAGTAGCTAAAGCACATGGAAGAAATGATGAAATAAGAGTTGAACAGAAATTTTCAAAAGGCAGCTTATAAAGAAATGTGTGAAGACCAAGAGTCAGAAACCGAAAAGGAAGAACACATTCGGCATATCTCAATCTGAAAGACTGGAAGAAAGAAAGAAAAAAAATAAGCCTTGAGTTGCAACGCCGAAAGATTCCAAGGGCAAAATATTGAATGATGCCAGAAACATTACATGGCAGAAGGAACACAGAGTCACTGTATCAGAAAGAATTGGTTGACATTCAATCATCTGAAGAGTTAGCCTATGATCACGGAGCAGTGACACTGAAGGAAGAAGTCCATGGCGCACTGAAGGCATTAGCAAAAATTATGCTTCAGGAATTGCTGGGACACCAACTGGAAATGTTTTAATCAGCTGATGAAGTACTGGGAGCATGCAATCGTCTAAGCCAAGAACTTTAGAAGACAGCTACTTGGCTAACCAACTGGAACCGATCCATATTTGTGCCCATTTCAAAGAAAAGTGACTCAATGTGGAAATTATCTAACCATATCATAAATATCACAGGCATGTAAAATTTTGCTAAAGATAATTAAAAAGTGGTTGCCGCAGTGCATGGACAGAGAGCTGCCTGAGTCAAGCTGGACTCAGAAGAGGACGTGGCATGAGAGACAGCCGTGCTGACAGCAGATGGATCTTAGCTGAAAGCAGAGACCATGAGAAGCATGCTTATTTGTGTTTTATTGACTATGCAATGGCATTATTATTTGAGTGTTTACCGGAGTCACATACATGCTAGCGGACCAGGTCAGGATTTAATGTCTCATTTGGGGATCTGCCTCGATGTCACATAAAAGAGAAATCAAGGTAGTTCCCAAGCTGAAGCATGTCTGGTGCAAAGATTTTCCCAGCCTTCTTCAGTCAAGTGAAGCTTGCATATGGTCCATGGTCAGGAAGGCAGCAGCTAAGACTCCATCTATTTAGAGAGCTCTCAGAAAATGCAAGTACTTTGGGGATCACAAAACCTCAATAATATAAATCCAAGAATCTTTGTATGGATCCTTTACCATCCAGTGTTAGTTAAGCCCTTGATCACTTGTTAATATTTATAGAAAATATATCTCTATGTTATAAATATCATAGAAAAGTTATCTTTCATTAGTTTTATTTTCTTCTTCCTTTCCCCAGTTTATTGTTACTATGACTAAAGAGTGTTAGTTAACAGAAATAACTATCCATGGTGAAAGGCGAAAGAGAAAGGGCCTTGGGGCACAGCTATGGGTGGCAAATTGATACTGGAAGAGAAGGAGTTCACCTAAAGGGTTTTAAGATCACTGGCAATGTTTTATTTTATAGGTTATGTGCTACAGAGCTGCCTACATTGCTCAAACCAATGAGATGATTAATGAACTTCTGGAACTCTCCTGTAACAGAGAGGTTATCTTCCCTCCTGGTCCCCGGTTCCCTGAACTCTACCCTGTGCTTTCTAGTGCAGATTTTAGTAGCTATGTAGTTCCTGACTAACTTGAGACTCTAATGTGAAGGAGAACTCAGCAGTCTTACCTCTCAATTAGGGTTCCAAAGATCAGATGAAGAACTTTCTGCATGTTTTCAGTGCACAGCCATCTCCACTGTTCCATGAGCAGCAAGAGGAGCAGATTCAGGGCTGCATCAGCCAACTCCGTCTCTTGCCCTGATGAGAAAGGGTTCAAGAGCCACAGATGAGAGCCACACTTGAGGAATGCATTTCAGTCACACTGTGTGCCAGTAGGTCTTTCCCTCCCTCATAAAGAACATCTTGTACTTTTGTAGCCCTCCACGCTCAAACCAAGAGAAACGTCTTCCTTTGTCTCCATCAAACTCAGTGCTGGGCTCAGTATTTCTTTTCTTCATGTTCTAGATATTCTGGTATTTTTATTTTATGTTTTTACAAAAATTATGCATATAATTATTTTTGCCTAACTAGCCTCTTCTTTATTTCTCCTGGATGCAGACCACATATTGTTCCAAATGAGTTCTCACTGGTGACTAACTGGAATTGGCAAAACTAAGTCTCTTCCACCCTTACATTCCACTCACCCCTACAATGCTTCATAGAAATGTGGGGAGCAGATTTGGGGAAAGAGTTGGACTTTGTTCGCTGGCAAAAGCTTGCTTTGAACATTCCTCCATTACACAGAACCGAAAGATGCAAGAGAGTGCAGGGTGACGTGAAGATAACATGTGGTTCTAGGAAGAACATGACACCTCTGGTAAATGCCATGACAATTAATGACATTCTTCCTGTTGGAGATGGGCAAGGCCACACTGAGCTCATGCCCATGCTGAGCTGCACTCTTCTGGACAGATGTGCTCCTTCTATGGGTAGAACTGTCTGTTCTCTCTCCGTGTCCATGGATCCCTTGTCATCCCTTTGCTTCCTGGGAAACTTCCACGAGAGGACATATGTTCTAGAACAATGGTTCTCAACCTTCCTGATGCCGCAACCCTTTAATACGGTTCCTCATGTTGTGGTGACACTCCCCCCAGCCCCAACCATAAAATTATTTTCGGTGCTACCTCATCACTGTAACTTTGCTACTGTTATGAACTGTGTGACTCCTGTGAAAGGGTTGTTCAACCCCCAAAGGGGTCGCGACCCACAGGTTGACAACCGCTGTTCTAGAATAAATCCACAGCTATCTGCTGCTATTTCTGATAAATATTAAAATGAACCATCAATAATAATTTTGGTAGTCTAAGACCAATGGGTACTCTCTGTGCCAGCCCTGTCCAACTTTCCTCCCTCAAGGGTTCTTTAGAACATGAATGACTTGAGGTGGGGATTGATCGAGTAGAACTAAATATTCCTTAGCTTTTCGTCTATCTAATACTGATCTTCTTTTTCTATACTGTGTCTTAAGGAGGAGGCAGCTATCTGATGGCTGCTTTGTAGTCGTCATGTGCTCCAAGATAGGACACGCAGTTTCTTCGGAAATAGCAGCATCCCAAGTCTTAAGTCAGCCTCCTCAACTCTGAGGGGGCTTCAAAATATTCATGGAATAGCAGAATTAAGAGTTAATGGAATTTTTTCTATGAACTTTTTAGAACAAGCCCCCTCATATTTTCTTAGGTCTCTAGCATTGGCTTGACTCATCGACCCCATGGATAGAACATAACTGCCCCTGTGGGTTTCTAAGGCTATGAATCTTTATGGGAGCAGACTTCTCCTTTCTTCCAGGGAGTAGCTGGTGGGCTCAAACTGCTGCCCGTGTGTTTAGCGGCCCAATTAGTAAGTCTCTACACCACAGTTGAGTTTTGCTTTGTTTTTTTTTTTCGGGTTGGTTAGCATTTGCCTACTGCTGCCACCCTGTGGTGACAATTAGTCAGGGCAGTCCTCTGGAAGAAAATGGTAACTATTCTCATAGGAACATTTTAGACTTCTGAAACTATCAAGGGTGGGCAGAAGGCACAAACCATTCCTTTGCAGATATGAAGTCCAAAGCTTCCAGACTTAATTTCATTTAGAATTATTTGATTTTACCCATCCCACCTTATTTACAATCTTGTAGTTGCTGACACTTTCATGCTAGTTCATGTACCTAGCCAGTGCAGTAAAGGGGGTTATAAAGGCTATTTTCCATGCAGCTAAAATGAAATTCATAGAGGAGCAATTGGATGATATTTTTCCCCGTGGTAAATTCACAAACTTTCTACTTATAATTTTTAGTTCAGGAAAAATACTCAGGGCTCCCAATTTTTCCCTCCGCACACAATACACTGGAACTTTCAGGGGAAGTACCTAACCTGCCCTGTCTCAGATGCTTGTAAGATAAGAGTAGCAACCTCCTTGCTATACCTTGGCTGACTAGATGATATCATTTACTGTGACAGCCAATCAAGAAGAATGAAGAAATTTAGGAAAATAGATCCATTCCCCTTTGGACACGTGGCATTTTGTGGCTAGCGTTATACGAGGAGGTTTCCAAAAGTTCATGGAAAAATAGAATTTCCCCATGAACTTTATGAAGCCACCTCTCATATCCAAATGAAGATTTCCAGTAGTTGGAAGAATCTATATAGATATCATCAGTTCATGTGGTAAAGCAAGTGTATGGAAAAGATGACCCAGGAAGCACGTGTAAGAGAAAGCCAAAGGGAGGGGAAAATGAGGAGCTGATACCAAGGGCTCAAGTAGACAGAAAATGTTTTGAGAATGATGATGGCAACAAATGTACAAATGTGCTTGACACAGTGGATATATGTATGGATTATGATGTATGGAGTAGTATGATTCCCCAATAAAATGATTTTTTAAAAAGAGAGAGAGAGAGAGCCAAGTCGAAGCTCTGGCAGGCTTCTCAGAAGTCAGCAAAGGAGACTGGCAAGGGACTACCCGAGAAGTAGAAAGCCAATCAGGGATGTGGCATCACATACACCAAGGAGGATGATTTCTAAGATAAAGAAAACAGTCCTAAGACATGCCAGAGAATACCAAAAATAACTGCAACAAGATAAACATATTGCAAGCACAGCCCTATCTCATTGAATGAGACCTTCCGGAGCCCGTGCTCTCTCCTCCTCCTCTGCAAGACTCATTTTGTATCTCAGGACCCGACACAATATTGCAAACACTGCTGTCAACATAGGCTTGCTTTGCTGAACACAACTGAAGTTACACCCTAGGGCTTAAGTGAGAGCAAATGTTTTGAGAAGGATGAGGGCAATGAATGTCCAAATGTGCTTTACACAATTGATGTATGTATGGATTGTGATAAGAGTTGTATGAGCCCCTAATAAAATGATTTAAGAAATTACACCCTAGTCCCTTCTCCATGGAAGCTGAGACGTTGTCACTTACCTGGCTCACTGTTGCTGAGGTCGTGGGCTGGCACAGTTATGTCTGATAAGCAACCGTCCACACTTCCTTTAGGATCTTTTTCTGGGGCTTCCTCGGGCTGCATTTCTAATAATTTGCTCTGTTTATGAAGAAAGGACTCCATTCCAGACAGGGACAGGATCTCCGAGTCCTGAAGAAATGGCCAATCTCCCATCACATAACGAACCATAAAAAGTAGGATAGCAAATGCAGCCTTCTAGGCTCCTTCCTCTGATCTCTTTAAAACTATGGGTATAAAACTATGGAGTCTTTAGTGACAAGTTCTTTTCAAACTAAGAGATCCTGTGATCACCTAGAGTGGTTTTTATTCTTTAACTGAGTTGCAAGTAAAATGAGTTTGGCCTTGGACTATCATTTGGAGCAAATGCTTTCTGGTATTTTCACCTGGTGGCGTAGTAGGTTATGCATTGGTCTGATGATCTCAAGGTCAGCAGTTCAAAACCACTAGCTACTCCGCAGAAGAAAGATGAGGCTTTCTGATCCCGCAAAGAGTTACAGCCTTGGAAATCCAATCGGGCAGTTCTACCCTGTTCTATAGGGTCGCTATGGGTAGGAATCAAGTCAATGGCAGTGAGTTATTCTCACCTAGAACTGGCTTTCTCTTTCATCTAGCATCTATTATCCCAATACCCTGCTCTTGAGAGACCAGACTATCAACCCCAGACTAGTAGTAGGACTTCTACCAGATTGCTAAATACACACACACACACACACACACATCTACCAGATTGCTAGATACACACACACAGACACATCTACCAGATTGCTAAATACATACACACTCACACACACACACCACCACCACCACCATCACCCAACGCCCCTCTATTTACCCAAAAGCATAAAAATTAGAAATCTAGATGCTGGTTCCAAAGTCCCTTCTGATTACAGAGAACATGTCAAGGGGCTACAACTGCAGGGTCAGCATCCAAGTAGGAACTGCAGCTCTCCAGGCTTTGGTTCTTACCATGTTGCCCTCACGGAGACAATAGAGGACCTTCTCGTGTACTTCAGTGACATTCAAGGTGGGGGCAATTTTACTGGATGCAAACCTCAATCTGGACCTATTGCAGAAACAAAGATCAGGGACGGAATGTACTTCATGGGCTTGACCCCTGTACAAAGGGCTGATAAGCATGAATATATTAAAACTGGGACACCCAAACTTGTTTTTAAGAACTTACTGTAGCAAGGATTGCCAGGAAACACTACCCCAAGCAATCTATATTCTGGCAACTGTACAGTTCTTCTTGCGCACACAGTGCATACTTAGAAGAACAAAATAGGCTAAAGAAGAGCCATGGACTCATTCAAATTTATAAACAGACAAGCGGCACAGACCAAAGATTTGCTTTTTTGTCCCCTTGTTGTTCCCCCAACTCCATTATTCCTCTTGTGTGTCCCATGAAGCCAGAGAAAGAATTAAGTAATAACTTCAATATCTGAAGGAGAGAACATCATAAAGATAGGCAACTTGGTCAATTTTCAACTATAGGCCTACAAAGAAATACTAAGAATTGCTGGCTCTTGTTATTGCTGGTCCAAGAAACGTGAACACAGATATAGACAGACGTGCAAATACATGCTTCTCTTTCGTTCTTTAGAACCGTCTAGATCAGTGGTTCTCAACCTGTGGGTCATGACCCCTTTGGGGTCGAATGACCCTTTCACAGGGGTCACCTGATTCTTAACAGTAGCAAAATTACAATTATGAAGTAGTGAGGAAAATAATTTTATGGTTGGGGGAGTCACCATAACATGAGGAACTGTATTAAGGGTTATGGCATTAGGGAGGTTGAGAACCACTGGTCTAGATGTTGATGGAGTTTGCAGTAAGGGCAATTGTAAGGCCTCTCCACATGTTGACTATAGCTATGTAGGGCCCTAGTGTAGGAGAGGGTAACAGCCATCAACCAGCTTTGAAAATAGGTTATGAAGGTCCCAATTCTAGCCTTTCCTGTTTATTGCTAATATGTGAAACTTTTGACCTAAGATTTCCAGAAATGATGGCAAAGAGAGATCATTTATAAACTGTAATTCTTAGCAGGGGTAGAAATATCCCAGTTTCCTAGGAAAACAGGTAAGAGGGAACATTCATATTCTAGATTTCCCATCTAGTAAGAAGCCTCTGGTAATTTGGTTTCCACAGGCAAGAGAAAACATTCAGTTGTGCTGTTTATCCAGCATCTTAGACTCCTCTGGGAAGGGTATGGAGCGACTAGCCTGGTTTTGCATAAAGACTGGTACGGATGATTCACCTCCTCCTCTAGGGCTTGGCAGTGGGAAGAGGCGTTGATTGAAGATTGGGGAATCAACCTAAGATTAAGGGAATATTCCTTGGACAACCGAAGGGCTTCTCACTTGTTAGCCTTCTTGACTTCTGTTTGAGGCTTGCTTTCTGTCTCAGCCTCACTTAGTTCTTCTGTGGGGCTCTGGGGCTCAGAGCGAGGAAATGCTGTCTTCAAGGTATCCATGATAGCACTCACCACCATCTGTAGAGGCCAGAGGCGCAGGGTCAGTAAAGCCACTTCCAGATGGAAACAGCTAAAAAAGCAAGTTGCTGCATAGTGCTTCAGCATCCGGAGACTTCAACACCCAAGCTATCTAGCACTGTCTTAGCCACCAGAACAGTCCATTATACCAGCTAGTGGCTTAGTGGTAACTAGTCCCTTTTACTATAACCCTAAATATCTTCTTCCTCACAGAGTCAGACAACTATTGCCATGGGAAGACAAGCTAAGAGGAATAGTGAGATAAATGAACTGGATGGATGGATGGATGGATAGTTTGTTAGGCAGGAGAAATACTTATCATTTTTCTATTTTTCCCTTTTATAAAAGAGTGGTTATTTTGTTTTTAAATTAACACAGTACATATGAAGACAGTTGAGTGAAGATTACCAAAAATAAACAATATAGTCCAGCAGCATAAGATGATAAGTAAAAAAATATGGCTAAAGAGAATACAAATCTTTAATTAGAAAAAAAAAATCAAAATGTGAATTTGTTTCTCAACATATCCTCCATGTGGGCCTATATACTTCTGAAGGCAGTATTTCTCTCTCTAAACTTTCTTTGAAGAATCCTCTATGCAATTTACACCATGTCAAAACACGGCAGTTCAAAGCATGTTCCTGTTAAATGTTATTTGAGTTTGGGGAACAAAAAAAGTCTGATGGGGAAAGAGCAGGCCTGTAGGTTAGGTCAGGCTTCCCAATTACGTGTTCACAGGCCAGCCCTTACTGCTTGTGAAGAATGGGCAGGTGCTGGATACTCTAATAGCCACTTGTGATTACTATTAGGCTCTCCAATGTGTAATACAAATGGCCTTTTCCTACCACCTCCAAAGGTTCTGAGACATCCTGTTAGCGAAGGCCCTCTACACATCTCTTTTCTAGCAGAGAATCACCACACCAATCTAAAACATTCTTAGGGTCTTGTTCTTGGGCTCTCTTTCTTGGGTGACCAATTGTGAGAGGGATCTTCACTTCCAGAAGAGACTTTTCTGCCCCTACCTCTCTACCGAGGTGCAAATTCAACCTTACGTGTCTCCACTAGACTATCATGGGGTTCTCATGAGATATGTGTACACATATAGGATCCAGGTGTTGTTTCCTAACAGTCACTCGCTGTCATTGAGCATTCTGCCAGTACTCAAGAACAGGTCTGGAAAATTCTAGTCCAGATTCTGTTGATTCCTCTGTGTTGCCTCTCCAAACTCTTCAAACCCTCATCTCCTTTATTTGGAATGGACACAAGTATTGCTTCCATTCTGCTGAAAACACCTTAACTTCATAGATACAAATTAAGGCTGAGGATACTAGTCTTGCTGGTACCTTGTCTATTCTGGAGACCATAAAAGGTTTCTTGACAAAGGCAATACGGGCATCTGTATTGAGCGCGAGGAACTCCTGCACCTCCTCACTGTTGGCAATCTCGGGAACAGCACAGAGTTGCTGCAAAAGTGAGATACAAGTAGACTTTAAAGAGAAACTTGGCACCCGGACCCTTTCACTTCGGCTTGGCAGTCTGGTTGTGGGAAGACGGACAGCAGAGCCCCGAAGAAGGATGCTGACCTTTAAGAATGATTCCAGGAGGCTCTTGCGTGCTTCTACTCGGTCGCTATCCATGTTTCCAAAGGGAAGATCTGGAAAGAGCTTTTTAGGACCCTTCACATCTTTTTTTAAAAAAAGGAAAAAAGAAAAACTTAGTCATAACATTTACTGAGATTATTGGGTGTAAGACATCATCTTTGATTGACTTAATTCCTTTTCTGTGAACTAGGAATAATGACACTGTCACAAGCTGTTCAGTAAGGACTAAATGAACTAATATAGAAAGAACTTAGCTTGCTTTAATATTCATTATGACCATTAAGAAGTAAAATGCAGATCAGAGATCCAGAATACTAAGAGGCTTAAAAAAAATCATGGGAAAATGCCATTATTATTGAACTCCATTTCCCCACAAACTTTTGAAGCCCCTCCCATATGCCCTGAAACCCGGCCTGCCATCGAGGCGACTGCAGCTCGCAGTGGAGCAGGACTGCTCCCTGCAGTGTCCGAGACTGGAAGTCTGGGAATCATCACGCAGGCTCATCTTCCTCCCGCGGAGCAGCTGCTGGATTGGACCCACTCACCTTGTAATAGGCAAACTAACAATTGCCTGTACCACACGGGTGCCTTCATTTATGCCTACCTGTGTTAAAATGTTTATCTTCCACGTTAAAATAAGTAAATAAATAATAAATAAGCGGCCAGTTTCTAGCTTATATCTAGAGTTTAGTTTTATCACATTTTCTTATTCTCCCTGTACCCCAGAGGTACTGAACAGCAGACAAAAAAATAAATAAATCTGGCTGTGATGGTGGCATGGAATTCTGGAGAATATCTTAGCATTTAGGAGACATCACAGTCTATGCATCTGGAAAAGTTCATTTGATGCTTCACGATACCTCATGGGTACAGGTGGAAATGTGGAAGTATCTTTCTTTTTTTTAAAATCATTTTGTTAGGGGCTCATACAACTCTTATCACAATCCATACACACATCAATTGTGTAAAGCGCATTTGTACATTCATTGCCCTCATCATTCTCAAAACATTTCCTTTCCACTTAAACCCCCGGCATTAGGTCCTCATTTTTCCCCTCCCTCCCTGCTCCCTCCTCCCTCATGAGCCCTTGATAATTTATAAATTATTATTTTGTCCTACCTTGCCCTGTCCGACGTCTCCCTTCACCCACTTTTCGGTTGTCCAGCCCCCAGGGAGGAGGCCACATATAGTCCCAGGAAGTATCTTTCTTAAGCTAAGGATTGCTTCATAAAAACACGTGATTACTATTGTCTAGAGCTATGCTCTAAACTCTTGAAGCAAACAAGGGAGCAGAGTACCCTCACTGATGTATTTTCCCTCCTCCATCCTTTCCCACAAACCAGTCTTCCCCCAAGTGCTTAGGCCAGGGTGGCCAGCTGTGGAAAGAAAGTGGGCAACCCAGGGTTGGGGAAATTCCTAACTTTTGATGAACTTTCGTAGATCTGGTTTCTCCTCCAGTCGGGTCTGCAGATTCAAGAACTCCCGGTACCGGCGATTCACAGTGTGGTAGGCCAACTGGTTTAGACCACTGGTGTTCTCACCATCAAGAGATGTCTCATACTGTTGAATGAATGAGTTTGTTACTGAATGTTGAATAAATGAGTTTGTTACTGAGTTTGTTAACTGAATTAGACAGGCTTAGGCAATACTCTACTCAGGCTTTCACGACCACTTGCTCAATGACCACAGAGTATGAGTCAAGAAAGGGTAGGAGAAGGGGAGATGTTCCCATTCTGTTCTGGAAGCTGTGGTGTACGATTGCTGCCTTAGGCTGTATTGACTATCTGAAGCTCCAGCAGTGGCTGAATTAAGGAACGGGAGGCACTTTCTAATATGCAAGGGGGCTTGAAATGTTTTGTGGAAAAATTCCATGATCTTTGAATTCCATGTTTCTATTTTGAAGCCCCTTCGCACATGGCCCAGAAAGTTTCACTGCTTTCCCTTCCTACTTGTACTCCAGAGCCAGGTACTTTCCTATAAAAAACATAATACAACTCTATCTCAAATCCTAAAGATACAGTTTAAAACAGAAGGCCTGGCATCTATAAAACTGTTAGAGCCTCTTTCACCACCAAGTCATAGAGCTGGCATTGTATGAGGATAACTATTTGCTATTACACTGAACTAGTCATAATCTCTATTAGTTGAAGGGAGAACAAATAATCCTAAAACAACAGATGAACAAAAATTGCTTGTTTTGCTGGGAAGCATTAAAGGGGCATGTGGTTTTGTTTTGCTTTCGGCAGACTAATCTTCCTGATTGCTATTCGTAGGAGCTAAACTTATAATTATTTTTGCAAAGTATCTGTCATCTGTATGAGCATAAGAATTTAAGACACCATAAGAAGTGAAAGTGTCCTGTATTCATATACTTGAAGGGCTACAATCTGGGGAAAGATGATTGTACCACATGTCCCTGAAGAGGAGGGTGAATACCCTGAACAATAAGAAAGATAAAACTCAACATAGGGGGAAACATTTTGATAAGCAGTTCAAAGATGTAAAATCTGTAGAACTACTCACGTGACCATTCTTATGACAAGTAGGTCACAACTGTTTGGCTGTGGTATAATACTATGGGCAACTGATGAAAAAAATTACCTCCTGTTGGCTGGACTTGCGATTGATGTTTTAAGGTATTTTTAGATCCAGAGAGAAATGATGGGCACAAAGCAGTCCCTAAGGCTACAGAACATGAAAGACTAGGGTTAGAAATACCAGTAGAATTCAGGATGGGGGTCTCAACAGCTGGAGTTAGAATGCTTTCTGTAGACTATTATGCTGTTGAGGGACATCATTCACTATGGTTATGTTCACTTCCGTCACAAAAACTGCCAAAAATCATACTTGCGAAAAGTATAATACTATCAATGTTACTGAAACCGAGTCTCTCAAATTACACACAATGAGCTGCTTTGGGGGTTGTTTTTGGTACAATTTTCACCTGGCCTTTTTCTAATGCTAACTTGGAAATAACAGGAACAGGTGTCAAAAATCAGCAACAACAACAAAATAAATTTTAAAAGAATGAGAGAACGACTATTAAATTCTATCCATCGGCTTAATGTTTTGCTGTTAATAAAGGAAAAACCTGTTTGGTTTCAGAGTTCGAATATGTCTTAAATCGAAGATGAAGACGTGAGAAAAGTACCTGTCACGTGAAGACCCTGAATGAAGAAGAAAAACGCCAAGCAAATGTCAACGACGTTAAGCCAGTCCTTCGAGCCTACATTGAAACTACGGCAACTGTGCCTGTCAAATTTTATAAGGAGTGTGTGTGTTTGCAATGAATTTCATTCTTATTTGATAATTTGACATTACTTTTCAAAATGACACTTTCATCATCCAGCTATTAAGCTGATTAAGGAAAAGATCCCCCCCTTCATGGATTAATATTTAATGGGGAGTGCAGCACTAAGGCTTAGAGACAGGGATGGTTGGCCTCTGACCAGAAACAGCCAAGGAGAAGGCAAGTATAGTCTAACTGATAACATCTTTCCCAGAAATTCTTTCTCTAAAATTCTTCTTTGATAATTTCTTCATCTTTTAAAAAATACTAATATCTTTTTAAGTTTGTTTAAGGCAGTAAATTACTATCTATGCATATCCCAGAACAAAGGCCAGCAAACTGCAGCTCACGAGCCAGTTGCTGCTCTTTCAGTACATTGAAGTAAAATTGAAAATGAAATAAAACTACCATAGTTTCATTTATAAAATCTCTAAAGGATACCATGCAGACAATGATTTCATTTGCTTGAAAAAATATATTTATGGCTCTTGAATCACTCTTAAATTGTTGTGAGAGACAGGGTGGCTCTTCTGGCTCAAAAGTTTGCCGACTCCTGTCCCAGAAGGTAATACCTTCTTCATTTCTGAAGGTATTTAAACAAAGACTTGGAAACTACCTGGAAGAGATGATATGAAAGTGATTCAAATAGTAGAAGCCTGGTTAGATAAAAGCAGGGATTCCCTAAAACTGGCTTATGGAGAGGCTGTATTCAAATCACCTGGAAGATTTTATATAGATAGATAGATAGATATATGAATAGATATATAATATATATATATTAATATGTATTATATATATCCTGAGACTCATTCTTAAAATCGCATTCAGAGTATCTCAGACCCTATATATATACACACATACACACACACATATATATATCGCCTGAGACCCATTCTTAAAATCTCAGAGTATCTCATACCCTGTATACACACACACACACACACACACACACACACACACACATATATGGCCTGAGACCCATATATATCCTGAGACCCATTCTTAAAATCTCACTAAGAGTATATATATATATACTCAGGATATATATATATATCCTGAGACCCATTCTTAAAATCTCATTAAGAGTATCTCAGACCCTGTCAGAATCTCTATATTTAAAAAGCAGCAAGTGATGTTGATGTGCAGCTAGGATTGGGAACCACTGAGAACTCCAGTCACCAACATCTTAACAACTGTGAGGTTGTAGGGTTGTTGTGTAAGTATAGGATAAGAGGCTACTCTGCCTTACAAAGCAAACAATGAGTGGTGTTTCTCCCTGAGACTATCAGCTTCACTGTCTCCCCACCATCTGAACCCATTCCCAGCCACTGAGCACAGCCTGTTACCTTCACAGTGTAGAGTGTGTATGGGTGGAATCCAGTGCCACTGTGCTCTCGGGTAGTAATTGTGCCAGTGATTCGAAGGTTCTGGATGACAACTGGGGCATCTGGACTGCTGAGGGATTCAAAGCTGAAGGTGGCTGAGCCAAGAGAGTTGGGTGGAGAGGTGGAAAGCAGAACCTTCGGCAAATTAGTATTGAGGGAGCTCACATCATTTGTGAAATCCTTCTCTAAGTAGAAGGGTCGTGGGAGGGATGTGACTTCTGACCCCTGTGGCAAAGCTGTAAGCGCAGTGACATTTCCTTGTTCTACTGTCTGGTCTGCTGTGTCAATCTGGATCTGTGGGCAGGTTTTCAGCATGGAGGCCAGCAGGTTTGACTCTGTGTCTGTCCTTGGATCCTCTTCAGCTTCTCCTCCTTCAATTCCCTCCAATCCCTCACTATCTTTAGGCTCCAGAGCCTGGGTTCCCCCTAGGGCACACAAGGCATCTCTGAGCTGGTCAGGAAGGAAGCTGCCTGGCGTCATGAGCATGATGGTTTCTTTGCCCAGTTCTGAGAGAGGAGATTCCAGCTCTGAGTCTTCACATAAGAACAGGGGCCCTCGAGTATCTGGATGCAGAAAATGAGTTGCATTGTTCCCCACTTTTCTTTCTTCTGGAATGCCACCCAAATCTCCCTCTGTCGCTTCATGGCCTTCTTCCACCTCTGGGGTGGAGTCTGATGGTCCGTCTACTTCACTCCAGTGTAAGAGTGCTGGGGTTGGTGCTGGAAAAGGCGCTCTTCCCTCTGGCAGACTCGCTACTTCAGTAATCAGTGGCAGAGCTGTGGGCCCTGAGGTCTCTTCCAGGGCACTGGCTGGGCAGGTCAGTTCCATCTTTTTGGCCGGATCATTTCTGGTCTTGGAAAAGATGCCTACGAGGACAAGGTGGATCCAGTCAGGATCAGAGAGTTTGCTGATCAGTGGTAAGATTACATTGCAAGTAATGAGTTCAACTACTATGTGGCGTCCAGTTCGGGTTTCCAAATGCGGCTTAGGGACCAGTCCTTGAAGCAACACATCCACAATGCCACGAGTGTAGGTGACCTCAGTGCTGGGGCTCTGCATAGCAGGATGTGGGGGAGTTGTCTGGCAGTAAGCTTCCCAGAGCTGAGAGGGCTCAAGTGAACTATGAGGCTTCCCTGCAGTGACCGCCTTTGCCTGGATATAGCTCTGCAGGTGACAACCACAGAGAGTCAGAATCCTCTGCGCAAGGGCATGACTGTCCACCATGCCCATTCTCTTTCGGAGTTCCTGGGCCAACCCCTTCATGGCGGCCTCCATCTCTTCCTCAAAGGCTGGCTCCTGGCTCACTAAGCGATACCAGGATGACACAAAGTCCCGCATAATCATCTGGATGGTACGATTGATCTCCTGTTCCAGCTGCCTCTCTGCCTCGGGGCTTGGAGGGCTGATGGCTATGGGGATGAAACGTTCCAGGTGCAGTCGCCCTGTACTGCCCACAATGGCGTTGGAGCCCAGCCATCCTCCCAGCGCCAATAGCAATGCAGACAGAAGCCACAGAAGCCACACGTTGACCAGAAGGTGGATGATCAGAAGCCAGCCAAGCACAACCCCCAAAGCCATCAGCTTCCGGCCACACAACAGGTTATTGACGCTATTGTTGGACCAGTCCGGGGACCCCTGGCTTGGGGGCACCGTCTCTGCCATCATGACTAAAAGGACCAGGTGGCCTCCCCCAGATCACTGTCCTCTTGGGAGGACAATAGAGGAGCTTCCACGGTGGGCGAGAGGATGTTTGGCTGTGTCCCCGAGGGGCTGGAAATCGGGATGCTGTACAGGAAATCAGGTCAGGCCCTCAAAGGGGCACTGTAAAGCTGGGACAGCTGTTTACGTTTTCACTGCCGCCAGCATCTCCCCCAAACTAGACGCCTCCGGCGATGTTTTTGAGAAACGCTGATGCCTTCGTCGCACAGCTTGGGAAAGGGTGTCTCGGGGATGCCTCCAGGGGGGCCGTGCAGGGGCCGTCAGGTCCCCCAACACTTACAAACGCCCTAGGAATTGCTGGCCGGCCAGGTCGGCACTTGAGTAGACACCAGCAGAGTCCTGCACTCATGCGCCGTCCTCTGTGCCGGCCCGCGGCCCGCAGCCACCGCAGGGCCGGGCCGAGGGGTGCCCGCGCTCTGCGTCCGCGGTCCTCGTCAGGGCCGCCGGCTCCGGCCACAGCGGCCTCTTCCGGGATGACGTCACGGAAAGAAGCAAGCTGCCGAGCGGGCGCGGGCGGCGGCGGCTCCGCACGGCGCCACCTGGTGGCGAAGAGGACGCGCGGCAGCGCTGTCGGAAGCAGCCCGGAAAGGGCCCGTGGGCAGGGGTGTCAGGGAAGCATGTCTGGGAAGGGTGTCCAGGAAGCGTGGCCAAAGTGCTCTCGGAGCTGGAGCGCGGCCCTGCGTCGATGGTCGCTGTAGATTTAGACCACCAGCTCCCTTAGCGGACGGGAAAACACGTTCCAGGCTCTTGGTTAGTCGATGACGTTTGCAAACACGCCTTAAGGTTAAGGCAAGCTCTGGATCCAGTTTATTTCACTCCTATGCCATAGGAGGCATTTTCCCCTCAGCTTGATCAGTTTTAACGCTCATCTTGTTTTCCCCAGAGGGCTCCCCTTTCCCAATCCACAGCTCCCCTATCTGGTATTTAAGAACTGCACCATGGAAGGCATCAAACAGTAATATGGAGATAATCACCAAATCAAATTTGTGATTTGGGGGATATTTACCCAAGCAATCAAATATTTTGAGCATCTGCTATGTTAAGTTACTGTGATAAGTAATGGGGAGATAGCTAATTGTGAAGAAAGGATATATTTAATAATGCAACTCAGTGTGGGATATTCTAAAATGCAAAGGTATTCAAGGAATAGGAAGATGACTGCAGGTTACACTAGTTCAGGGAGATCTCGTAGGAAAGGTACTTTTCAGCAGCATCTTCAAGGTTGAGCGCTTCATTCTACTCACCTCTATTTCTTCATTGTTTTCTCCCCAAACAGAAAAGGGAAGGCGAGATAGAGATGTGTTTTCAGACATCTGTGCTCCAACATCCTCTGACATCTTTGAGTTCTAATCCTCTGACATCTTTGCTTTGGAATGTGTTTTGTTTCCAGTTTCAATGAACTTGCCTTCGAGTGCCCACAAAGCTAGAGTTACCTAGGAAGATTAAATATCTGATATTAGTATTCATCCTGTATAGTTTATATAAGTTTATGCCAGTCCTTGCCTCAGCCTTGGTCCCTTGAGCTGTGTTCAAAATGTAGCCATTCTCTCTCTCTCTCTCTCTCTCTCTCACACACACACACACACACACACACCATACATCATTTGTATACACTGCTAATATTGTTTTACATCATCACTCCCAAGATGTTTAAAGGAATTATCCAGCAAATTCTAACAAAAAACTGGGACAGCAAGAAGCACAATGTGACTTCCTCCCTCACATCCATGTATACTGTCCACACAAAGATTTCTTCTGAAGGCAAAGAAATTCTCACTTGATTGTGCGGCGTAGTCCATGACTACTGACAGCCGAAGTATCCACCAAGACCACTGAGCATACCGCCGCGGAGATGGCGAATGCTAGTCCGTGGTTCCATTTCACTGCTGCTCTCCTCTCCACGGAAAAGGAACGTAAGAAGTGGGCCCTGCCCCTCCCTGAACTCCCAGAACATTTTCATTGTTATTAAGGGCAATTAGAAGGTCACAACAATTCCCTGAGGAAATAGCCCTGCCACCAAGTTGGGAACTAAAATAGGGAAGTGAATAATTGAGGAGCTAATGCTGATTTAGAAGACTTCTCTATCTTGGCTGTGAGCAAAAGTTTACTCTGCAGTACAATCTGGAATGTTCAGGTAGCAAGGAGCTGACCTTGTCAGTGGGCGCTATGCCATCTAACCAGATGGTCTGCAGCCATCAGGTAGCCACGACTGCCTTCCTGATTCGCAAGTGCATTTGATGAAGCAGGAGCCCCAGATGGACATATCAATGCACTTGTTATTTTGACTTGGGCAGGCCTCAGAATCCAACTAAATTCATCATGAGGATGTGATTAGATTAAGGACTGAGGGTGATGATAAGCGTGTGTGATATGGGGAGAATGGCTGTTCACATAACCCTCTATCTTGTTAGGTCCTAGTTTTTCTTACCATTTCTCAAAGCATAGGGAGAGTGTGAGAGCACTGGGGATAACATGACAAATGAGAAAAGTTCCTCACCTCAAGGAATTCAAAGTCTAGTCAAAGAAGAAAGATAAGTGACTATATAAAGATAATGAATATTACTATATATGTTATAGTAGTTGCAATAAAAGTATATACAATAAGATGACAAAACAAAAGAGGGAAGGTCAATAGTGACCTTCTGAGTGGTGTCAATAAATTCTTCATAGGAAAGTTTATTTCTAAATTGAAAAATAAAGTGAAGTGAATATATTCTAAGTGGAAAGAGGAAAGGAAGGTTTTCTAGTCAGAAAGTGGAAGCAATTGGTTTTGGAAATGTTATGGGAAAATGGAATTGAAAGATAGTGGAATTTTCCTAAAATTTTTGAAGCCCTTGTATACCTAGATATACTTCATAAACATTAATATAATGATTCTTCAATTTTTTTCTTTTTGCATTTAATTTTACATTGTAATATATTTATTATGATTTGGGCGTAAGTTTACAGAGCAAATTACTGTTCTGTTCAACTACTAATTGTTGTTGTTGTTGTTGCTGCTGCTGTTAGGGGCCGTGGAGTCAGCTCTAAGTCATCAGCAACCCTGTGAACAACAGAAGAGTCAGTGCGCAGGCCTCACAGTCTCTCAACCATCCATACATGTTTAATTCCTGGCGTTGGTTGCAATCCTCGTCATGTAATGACACTCTTCCCGCTTCCTCCCTGCATTCACTGTTTCCACTTCTCCTTTCTTATCCCTCCTTGAGCTGAGGTTTATCCCCTGGGAAATACTGCCCCTTGATCTCATGTGGCTGCTTGTTCTAGATAGACTGTGTATGTTCCTGGGATTACTCGTCACCTTACAGGCTTGCCTATTGTTTGGCTGGAAACTATTCCATGAGCTCTTAAGGATTAAGATGGATAAACACCACAGTCTTAGGGTTTTTCTCAGTCTCTGTTAGCCAAGTAAGCCTGGGTTGTTTTTTGAATTTTGTTGCTCTCTGGGGTCAATTAAGATCCCTTTCAGAAAGGTCAGAAGTGGAAACGGGGCACCATTATCTTGTTCTTCTGGTGTCAGGTTCATGGAGGCTGGTGTTCATGTGCTCCATTAATCCTTTAGAATAAGCATTTCCATCCATCTTTTATTTTCCTCACTCTTCTTTGCTCCAGATGGGGAGAGATCAATAGTTGCTCCTTAGATGGCCACCTAGAAGCTTCTAAGACCTAAACCGCTAATTACCAAAATAGGCTATACAACACTGTTTTTGTGGTCTATAGTATACTAATTGATCTTCATGTTTTTTGAGACTAAGGTCCTGGGCATCTAGGCCCAGTGTGTCATTCCCTGAAAGTGTTTGGTTATGGCTAAGAAGGCTATATAGTTTTGCTCCCAGTACGGTATCCTCCATTCTATATCCATGAATATATTTGCAGCACATATATGTACACATGTGGAAATAACTTTGTCAAAACCTAAATATTCATTGGTATAGTTCAATTCAATTGACATGTTCAGTTTGTGTGTCTGCCCATGTATCCATTTGTAGATTATTATTGTGAATTGCAGGATTGTGTGTTGCCTTTAACTCATTTGAATTTCCCAATGTCTTCCTTTGTGCAGACCTCTCCTCCAATTGTATTTAGCCTTTCCCTACACCCAGGTAGTATACCAGTATGTCTACTTTCTAGTTAGTGGTTTATCTTCCCTTCTGTCCCATCACTGGTAACCTTCAAAGAATATTTCTTTCTTTAATTTTTATAATAGTGGTCTCAGACAATATTTGTCCTTTTATGATTTACTAATTTCACTCAGCATAATGTCCTCCAGGTTCAACCATATGATGAGGTGCTTCATAGATCCATCATTATTCTTTAACTTTGCCTAGTACTCCATTGTATATATGTACCATAGTGTTTTTATCCATTCATCCATTGACGGGAACTCAGATTGTTTCCATGTCTAGCTATAGTGAATAATGCTGCAATGAACTTGAGTGTGCATATCTTTTTTTTGTTTTTGATTTTGTCATGCCTCTTCTTTATCTAGGATATATACCTGTGAGGTCCAGGCTCACATCTGGGTGGGTCTTAAGGGATGATTGTGTAATTGAAGAGAAGAAATTAGAGACAAAGTTTTGGGGTGCTCACCTCTGCCATGGCTTCAGGGACCAGGTCTGAGAAGAGACAGAGATTTTATTCTCATGTCACCTTATTTACTCTAGAGCCATGCAAGCCCCTCTAATTACTGGTAGCCACATACTTAACAAACTGGACTTTACCCTAAGTTCATTGGAGGAGTAACCTAACACCAGTGGTGGGGGCAGGTAAGGGGAAGTGACTGTCCCCAGAGCAGTGCGAACAATAGCAGCATGTCTGCTCCCAGAGATAAAGCTGCAGGTCAAACAGCAATCAGCCATGTGCTTGTAAGAAGTAATGTCAAGGCAACACTATTATGGGAGGATCTTGTGGGGGATCCATCATAATTATGAGAATGTGATTGGGACTCATCTCTAACTCACAAGTACAAAGGCCTCCCTCCACCTAGAATCCTGGCCTGCCAGGCTTCTTAAAATATGAGAATAAAAATTCATCTGCATGCGTCTCTTTCCAGTCCTCTGTTTCCCACATATACCTAGCAGTGAAATTGTTATATCATACTGTATTTCTATTTCCAACTTTCTAAGGAAGGTAATATCATTTTTCACAGTGGTTGCACCATTTTGCATGCCTACCAGCCATGCATGAGGGTTTCAGTCTTTCCACACCCTCATCATTTGTTTTTTTTTCCTGCCTTCTCAAACTTTGCTGTCAATGATAAAGCTAGTGATTATCGCATTGTTGTTTTGCTTTGCATCTTTCTAATGGCCAGTGATAGGGGCCCTGGTGGTTGAATGGTTTACAAGTTGGGCTACTAGTCTCAAGGTCAGCAGTTTGAAACCACCA